TCCCCCCCCCCCCATGTTGTGTGACTCATAACCTCCTGTCTCTCAATCTCCAGAGGATACAGCACCCTCTTCTGGTCCCCAGGAGCACCCCTTCTCATGTGGTAGACACACAGACAGACGCACATACATATGAATAAAAATAAAAATCTTAAAAACTGGTAGTACCATCTCCCACCTTTGAAAACACTTTAAAATTTTTATTCTATGAAAAGAAATTGTTGCTGAAATACCCACCACTAAAATAGCGTGCACTTCTTAAAAAAAGCAATGCTGCTCTGTTGTCATGTGCCCTGTGGGGTACTGTCATACTCAGAATGCTTGTATTTGTGGTACACAACAGTGGATTCATACTTTTTGCCCATTCATAGTAAATACTTGTTAAATTTTAAATTGTTAAATAAACACTGTAAAGTGTTAAGTGTATTAAATTATGTTTTTGTAAAATCAACAAGTTTACAATGCCTTCTTATAGTTGGCATAAGACTCAGTGTTTGTATGTAGTTTGTATGATGCAGGTATATTATGTATGCTGCTGTCATCACATCGCAAACCTTAGATGTCCCAAGCGGGAATTCATATATGAAGTCCTTGTAAAGATACTAGACATTTTGCTGTAGCAGGGTGCTCACATTTCCACAGTGATGCATGAAGCTGTTCTTTTTTCATTTTGTATAATATAAAAGTTTATCAGTATTTGTATGAGATACTAAAGTTGTATTTTATGTTTTATAATGGAAAATACTCATTTTAAAGATATGAAGTTGAAAGATAAAGCTATCTATGACGTTCTTTAACTGTATGGCAAATCTTGAAGTAATTTAAATGTGAAAGAAATAAGTTTAAAAGGATGGGCTGCTGTCAGAGTAAGACGGCTACCTTTCTAGAGCTCCACACGGTCTTGTCCCTGATTCCAGACATGTTAGCTTCATTCTTACTACAGAAGCACTTTCACTGCTTTGACATGGTTGTGAACCAAGCATGCCTGCACTTCAAGACACAATTTGTACACTTGAGCTAGGGAGGGAACAGAATAGAGAAAATTCTTTTCTAGAGCTTAAAATCTAGTTAGTATGGTAGGCGAGGAAGTGAGAGCAAAACATTTAATAAGCTATAAGCCAGGTGTGGTGGTGCATGCCTTTAATTCCAGCAGACAGAGACAAGCTGATCTTGTGAGATTAAGGCCAGCCTGGTCTACATAGCAAGTCCAGGCCAGCTGGGCTACAGGAAGATCCTCAAAGACAAACAAAAACCCCAGGGGGCTGGAGAGATGGCTCAGTGGTTAAGAGCACTGACTGCTCTCGTACCCAGCACCCTCATGGTGGCTATGAACCATCCTTAACTCCAGTTCCAGGAGAATCCAAAGCCCTCTTGTGACCTCCTAGGCATTGCACAACTTGGGTGCACTCACATACATGCAGGCAATACACTCATACACATAAAATGAAAATAATACATAATTTAAAAAACCCAAATAAACAGAACTCCCAGAAAGCTATATGCCATAACTGGAAGGTTAAAAATCATGGAAAACAACTAATTGGAAAGGATTAGTGAGTGCCAAGTATAAAGGAAAAGGTTTACAGTTTTAACAGCAAAAGAAGTCCTGACAGAGAGGAATAGAGGAGGAGTTATCTCTGCAAATGCTCTGTGGGTAGAACATTCTAGGCGGAAGGCATAGCCAATGCGAAGTCTCTAAGATAGGAACGTGCCTACAATGTCAAGAAGCCACTTAGATGACATTGCCTCTGAGGCAGATTGTGTGAGCTGGGGGGAGAATGTAAG